TCCTCTTCTTGACTTTAATTTTCCCCAATCTTGGGTTGATATCATCATGAGTTGTGTTTCCATTCTATAGAATGACTCTCCCTTGGATCCAATCAAATCCAAAAGAGGATTGAGACAAGGGGATCCTCTATTCCCTGACCTTTTTGTGTTGTGTATTGAACGCTTGTGTCAACTTATTATTGAAACAGTCCATGAGGGCAAATGATGTGGTGTGAAAGTTTCTAGAAAGGGGCCTCAAATTACTCACTTATTTTTTTTTGATGATATTATTTTGTTTTCTAGAGCCACTGAAAGAGACTGTGTTATGATTAAGAATGTGCTTAAAGAATTCTGCTTATTGTCAGGCCAGAAGATTAGTTTGAACAAATCTAAGGTTTTCTTTTCGCCAAATATAAGTAAAAGTTATGCTTTATTCCTTAATAAGAAATGTGGTGTAACTCTCACTGATGATTTAGGAAAATATCTAGGTGTTCCTGTTTTGCACAAAAGATCTTCAAAAGAGCATTTCAACTTTATTATTGAGATAATCCAAAACAAACTTAGTGGGTGGAAAGCCAAGTCCCTCTCCTTGGCTGGTAGAACCACCCTCGTTAATGCAGTTACTTCAACACTCTCGAATCATGTAATGCAAACTAACTGGCTGCCTCAAGCCACCTGTGACCAGATTGATAGACTTAATGAGAATTTTTTGTGGGGTGACACACCTGACAAAAAGAAGAGGGGTTGGAATAGGGTGTGTTCCCACAGGAAGGAAGAGGGGTTGGGAGTGAGAAAGAATAGGAAAAATAACTTAGCTCTGCTAACTAAACTGGGCTGGAAAGTGAAAAATAGAGAGAATGCTCTTTGGGTTGANACCTTGGGTTGATATCATCATGAGTTGTGTTTCCATTCTATAGAATGACTCTCGGATCCAATCAAATCCAAAAGAGGATTGAGACAAGGGGATCCTCTATTCCCTGACCTTTTTGTGTTGTGTATTGNCAATTGCCCAAAAGCCCAAGGAGTGTTGGATTTGTTTAACTTGACCCAAGGGGAGGATTCTATTCAGTTAGGTGGGTTACAGAATTGGATACTTTTGAATTTTAAATTAAGGAAGAACAAGGACTGGAAAGGTATTAACTAGCCCATTATATGTGCTTGTGTCTCATGGTGCATATGGAAGGATAGGAATAGAGAGTGTATTGCTGGTACTACCACTTTACCTAGAGTAGTTGTNGGTGTGGTGTGAAAGTTTCTAGAAAGGGGCCTCAAATTACTCACTTATTTTTTATTGATGATATTATTTTGTTTTCTAGAGCCACTGAAAGAGACTGTGTTATGATTAAGNCGATTGCCCAAAAGCCCAAGGAGTGTTGGATTTGTTTAACTTGACCCAAGGGGAGGATTCTATTCAGCTAGGTGGGTTACAGAATTGGATACTTTTGAATTTTAAATTAAGGAAGAACAAGGACTGGAAAGGTATTAACTGGCCCATTATATGTGCTTGTGTCTCATGGTGCATATGAAAGGATAGGAATAGAGAGTGTATTGCTGGTACTACCACTTTACCTAGAGTAGTTGTTAGGGAAGCTTAGCTTCTAGCCTTGGACTCTGTCAAGGCATTCTAGAAAATTCAATATGAGCCTACTAATTGTTCTTCTTGTCTTATTGCATGGTCCTTTCCCCATACATGCTGGAACAAATTGAACACTGATGGATGCTCAAAAGGCAATCCTGACCCTGCCGGTGTTGGTGGAATTATCAGAAATGATCAAGAAAAATGGATTGCTAGCTTTTATGGGAAAATTGAGGAATCACAAGCTTGCAGGCTAANAGGCAGTTACTTCAACACTCTCGAATCATGTAATGCAAACTAACTGACTGCCTCAAGCCACCTGTGACCAGATTGATAGACTTAATGAGAATTTTTTGTGGGGNAATTCAATATGAGCCTACTAATTGTTCTTCTTGTCTTATTGCATTGTCTTATTGCATGGTCCTTTCCCCATACATGCTGGAACAAACTGAACACTGATGGATGCTCAAAAGGCAATCCTGACCCTGCCGGTGTTGGTGGAATTATCAGAAATGATCAAGGAAAATGGATTGCTAGCTTTTATGGGAAAATTGAGGAATCACAAGCTTGCAGGCTAAATTATGTGCAATTCTCAAAGGTTTGGAGCTCGTGCAGAAGAGAAGCATCTCCCAAACCATTGTGAAAACTGATTCTCTTGAAGCTGCTAAGCTACTGGCCACGGACTCGGAGGCCACTCACCCCAACAGGGCTGTTATTTCGCAATGTAGAAGGCTCATGGAGGTTAACCACATACCCATAATTCATACCCTTAGAGAGGGCAACCAATATGCTGATCTGTTGGCCAATCTTGGTGTCCAACAGTTAAATTTTTTTGTAGAGTTGGAGGATCCCCCTCCTCAGTTGGCAAATTTTTTGTTAGCAAATATAGCTAATGTTGCTTTTGTTAGGAACTCTATTTAATATTTAAATATTTTTTTCAATATACCAAAAAAAAGAAATAATATAAAAGTGTAAACCCAACTAATTAAATATTTTGATACACAATAAAATAAGTCCAACACAATTTGCCCCGAGGAACAAACACCACTTAGATATATAAACGGATCATCTTGTAGGATAGAGAGCCCAAAGCGCATCCATGACTCTATGCTGCCCGGTTAATGGGCTGCTCATGGGCCTCCAGGTGACGGATCAGATTTGCCTATGGGCCACAAAAATTTTAATTATGAACATAAATTTATTTTAATATATTTTCTTTTTAATTTTTTTTGTTAATAGATCATCTATCATAAANCGTATGGGCCACAAAAATTTTAATTATGAAAATAAAATTATTTTAATATATTTTCTTTTTAATTTTTTTTGTTAATAGATCATCTATCATAAATTTAAATGAGATCTTTCACTTATTAAAAATAAATGATCGGTTAATAAAAAAAAAAATTAAAAAATATATATTTGTGAGATCCGGATCCGACTTAATAGACGCTAGGGTTCTCCGTGGACCTGATTTCAGTCGCTTACAATTAGGCAACCCGATAAGCGCGAGACACCAGCAAACCGTTACGATGCCACGTAAAATCCTCCAATACTTACACGCCTATAGACCGCTAACAATTTTTGATACAACAACTACACGTGTAAAATGGCTGAGACAACACAAACTCGTGTTATATCAACTTTCTCTTTCACAAAACATACAAAATCCTTTGGCTGCTTCTCTTTTTAATCTCAGTCGGTTTGCTTGTATGCCTGTAAGATCTCTTCAATTTTCTGCTCTTTTCTCTTTTGGTTATATTTTGCATTACAAAAATCTTAAATCCATGTGGGTTTTTATATATCTAATCTAAGGCGATTTATTGTTTGTGCTATTATGAGTATATATATATATATAAGAAATCATCGGTTCACCGTTTGATTAGTATGAAATCATCGGTTCACCGTTTGATTAGTATAGTGTTAGTGCAATGTGTCTCATCTGGATATATTAATACGGCCACTTGCATTTTCATGATTACTTCAATAGTTGGATTATGGATGTGTAATGGTCTGTCTATTTCCTACATTGGTTTGATGCCTTTGAGGTTTTCTGGCTTAATTTGTCGATTAAATTCATTCTTATAGTATTGGGTTCCAATGTGTGTGTGATGTATCAACTGTCAATCTAATAGTAACAGTATTATATCATTGGGACACGAGGCAGACTTGTTTGTGTTTATTGCATGAACGTCATCGCTGGATCAAATAAAGCTGGGGCCGTGGGGGATAAAATTGGTTAACTATTCTTGGGTTTGGATTCCCCTTTTTTCGCTGACCGTCTTTTTTGCTTTCCTTTTGGTGATGGGGTGGTACCATTTTTTGCCTTTTAGCTTACCATGAAATAGTTGAGCCTTTTGAGCCAGACTGTTGTTCATTGCCTAAACATGAAGCTCTCGATCAAATAGGGGGTTGGATAATTGTAAAACTACTTTTGGATGACAGGATTTTGTGGTACCGTTTCTTTGTCGTTCAATAGAGAATTAGAGATGGGTCCAAAATATTCGGTGTCTTGAGATCATCTTCTTGTGTGAGTTATAAACTCTAACGAAGAAGTAAAAAGAACAATGTTATTAGAACATAATTTGGGCACATAATCCATTTTGACTAATGGAGAATACATTCCACTATTACTCTATTGGTCATAATATATTATGTCCCTCAATTGATGTCCTAATAGCATTAGTGGAAGTAAAGAAAAGGCAAAAGAAGAAAAAGGCCAACATGTACAACCTTATGATTGATTTCCAAAAGATGTTGCAGTTGTTTGATTTTGTTGGATTGCTGAATGAATCCTTTCATATAGATTGACTAGTTATAACTCGAAATAAAAAATTAATAAATAATAATTTTTTATTTCTTCTTTTATTTGATTATATCATTTAAAACTAATTTTCATCTATTATTTTTTTAAAAATAGAATCAAAATTTTTTGCAAAATGAATAATCTGACAAAATTTTTTTAACACGGGTATACTATCGTGTATGGACAATATATGAAATAATAATTGTGTTAAATTATAAATTAATTAAATATTAAATAATTAAACATGTAATATAATTGGATGAAGGGATGATTTTAAGGAGAAAAATATGTGTGATGATAAAAATTCAAACTCTCCGTGTTTTATTATATAGATTTTAACACAGCTCAAGAGCAACTCTTTTATACTCATGTAATGTTGGTTGATTGCTTAAGCAGTTAAGCGCCTATGTTGTTCCTTCTATATCTTTTACATGATCTGTTCCGCTCATATCTTCTATATCAAAGTTTTTGTAGAACACCCAGTGAATCATATGTGCTTCTTGCATGCTATTGTTTCTTGGACCTCAAAGCTCATTCTATTTTGACAGGTTCAGCAAGACTTGGAAGATTTGGCTGAACGGTAAGGTGGTCATCTTTACATACATATAGAGATATATACAAAAATCGAGTGAAATTAGAAAAATGTCGGGTGTCTCACTTGCTGTGGCTCCTCCCACTGAGCCTGACCAAACCACCAACTCGGCCGTGAAACCCATGGAAAAGCCTCTCCACCGCCAACAGCAGCAGCAACAACCAGCGGTGGGGAGTGTCATGGGATCCCTGCGTGTGATTGAACTCCAACTAATTGCTTTCATTATGGTTTTTTCCATCAGCGGTCTCGTACCTCTCCTCGACCTTGTCTTCCCCGCCTTTGCCACCGCTTATTTTCTTGCTCTTTCACGACTAGCCTTCCCATCTTATGGTAGAACCAGTGGATCACAGGAAATATTTCAAGGGGGTAGACTCTTTCGACTTTATGTCATCCTTGGAACCACTGTAGGGCTGTTCTTACCTTTGGCATATGTGTTGGGTGGGTTTGCTAGGGGAGATGAGCATGCAGTCCGATCGGCAACGCCTCACTTGTTCTTGCTTTCATGTCAGATACTAACAGAGAACATTATAAGTGGGTTGTCCTTGTTTTCACCTCCAGTAAGGGCACTTGTACCATTGCTCTACACTGTCCGGAGGATCTTCGTTATAATGGATTGGATACGGGATGTGTGGCTTAACAAGACACTACCTGCAAATGCAAATCTTCAGGTAAATCTTGGTTGGATTATGATTGCAACGATAACAGCATAGAAAGAAAATGTTGGTTATTTATGTATAGATTAATCACACAAGTCTGAATTCAATCACTAATATTTATTATTGAATGAATAATTGATAGTTTTTGATCCACTTACAACCCTATTTATAATAAAAGAGATCTAGAGAAATTATTACTATCTCAAGTTGACATGATTATTGATGGTGTAGGACGTGGCGTGGTATTGGTTTGGGAGGATCTTGGCAGTGGCTAATCTGTTGTATTTCTCTATCAATCTATTTGTTTTCTTGATTCCCAAATTTCTCCCAAGGGCATTTGAGGCGTATTTCAGAGATAGAGATGAGATACATGCAAAGATGGCAGAGGACAAACGTTCAGCAGCTGCAAACCAAGCCCAAGCCCAAGCCCAGCAGGCAGACAAGAAATCTGATTAATTCTGCTCCTTTTTTGTGTTTTTATCTTAAATACTTTGTAANAAGCCCAGCAGGCAGATAAGAAATCTGATTAATTCTGCTCCTTTTTTGTGTTTTTATCTTAAATACTTTGTAAAAGCGTATCAACTTAATCTCTTCTGTTCCCTTTAGTTCAATGCAGTTACTTTGTAAAAGTTTCTGTTATCTAGAGTACTTTGTTGTAGTTCTCCACCATGCTTATCAAAAGTTCTGGGGATCCTTTTTTTGTAAAGAAATTGTCGCTTTGATTAGTCTTATCGCATTTGATCTATTAAGTTATTTTGATATTGACAAATGAGGGGGTCACAACTACTTAATAGGTGAAGGGAAGCACCGATACAGTATGCCTATTCTAAGTCATGGTTGTACAGTACCGTTGGTTGTTTAACATGTAATAACATAAGATCTTGTTTCTGAGGGCGTAACTTGAGTGAGTGAATTTGAAACTAACCCAAAAGACTGACTACTTCGGTAGGAGTCCAATTTAAATTTCAATTGTACATGAATTGGAACATTGAGCTTTGGAGATCAATTGAATTTTAGAGATATAATGTATTGTCTCAATGGATCCCGCGTTACTACTGAGAGGAGAAGAATAAGTAGGGATCACAGGGTTGGAACCCGTGATATTTTTGACCCAAAACAAAGGTGCTACCAAGTTTTGCTACATCTCTTTTCAATTGTTCTATAGTGTTATTGATGTTTCTGACTCAATAGGGATTGTAATATCGAGAGGGAGAGAGGGAGCAACGATTGGTCTCCAAGAATAGGTAGATGGGGTGGGCTATGATGGATAGAGTGAAATCAATTTTNGAGTTTGCATAAATGATGTGCTGACCAAAAATACTTACAAACACATTCGTCCAAACTTCTGTGTTGATTCAATTTATGATATATTTTTTTTGATAAGTAGTCGGCTCTATAAAACACATTTTTTCTAACAAATTTCTATAAAAAAAAAAACCAATCCAATGAAAAAGAACAAAGTGGCAACACTAACACCATGGACCAATAATCCTAAATCAGACAATCCTCCCCCACCCAACCAACACACACACACACACACGCACGACAGCACCTGGAATCTCCTCACTTGTCTTCACAAAATCCACTTTAACGCAAACCCTAACCCAACCCCACCCCACCCCACTCCACTCCACCCATCTGTCTCTGTCTCTGTCTCTGTCTCTCTCTCACACACACACACACACACACNATTTTTCGTTTAATTAGTTGTAAACTTGTTCTATTGTTAATTTAACGATAACAATGTGGTAAGATCCCAAATTATTTGTTAATAACATCGTTCTTAAAGAAAAATATTTAAAGGATGGCAAACAAAAACGATAAAAAGATGGCATCATCATAATTAGTATTATAATATTAACTGTGATTGAGATGTTATGGTAATATAATGGGCAATTTAGTGCCCAAGACCTTTGGTAATAGGGGGTTTGCATATAGAAAAACCATTATGTTGGGTGGAATCAGATTACAGTGTAAAAATATTGCAGTTGCATCAAGACTCCGGAATTTTTGATGGTTAGATGTGCAACAAAGTCTAAAGTTAGAAATGGTTATAAGAAAAGCAATTTGACAAGAAAACTAGGAGTCCCATAACATTTAAGGCCAGAAAATAACCTATGTAACTCACAAGATTTAGAAGATCAAAGCTCTACCAAACTAGTTTCTGTTTTTGTAATTTATCATAACATAAATAACAAACCAAACAAATTTATTATTTTTAATTTTGAACGCAAAAAAATAAAAAAATTAAAACATTAACAAACGCACCCTCAATTTATAAGCAAATTTTGGAAACATTTGTAGCTTGTATGTGTCTACTTGTAAGAAAATGGGTAATACTTCAAGTGATGTCCCAAGCTATAATTGCCACATAAGCAATTAGTAGTAAGGAGTAATCATTTGTAGGAGTAATAAGACCCTCGTCATGCATGGATTACAATGAAGAGTAATGCTACACTTACATCATTTATGAAATTTGATTGGTCAAGTTCAAGGGCCCGACCCACGTTGTGAGCCCAGTTTAAATTAAGAGTCTAACTTAAGAGAGATCCAATAAGTCTAATCCAAAGTAGTCCACACTCAGTCAAGCTCATCAAGGTTCGAGGAGTTACATCACTAAGGGAGCATGCAGGGTCATCCAAAAGCATCATCCACGCCACTTTGAAAAGAGTCAATCACCGCATCATCTTTGACCGAATCTAATGGGGAGTGTCGTAACTGTCTCATCCATTGAGAAGATGGTGCCAACTCTATCAGATTAGTCACTTAGCTACTCATAAGTCATCTCAATCTGTTAGGAAAGCGACTATAAATTGTAAGTCCCGTCAACACTTGGGGGGACATCAGACTCAGTTGAGCACATCCTCTACTCTGCCCTATCTTAGCTTGTTTTTCCCTGCTCTCATTACACACCTTGAAGTAATAAAATACTCAGACGACCTTAGCCCTTCAAAGTAGACGTATGTCACATTGACCGAACCACTATAAATCTTTGTGTTGTTTTCTCTCTCTCCACTTTACTACTACATTTGTCACTATTCTGTTGACAGGTGGTGTACATAATTAATTTGTGTTTCATCAGTTTGACACCATCTGTAGAAAACGACAAAATTCTCACCTAACTATCTTTCTTGTTATACCAATGGTAATCACCACTAGATCCATGAATCAACCCAAAGACAATCCAACACGAGAGGACGAGCTTGTTCCTCCACCAACCAAGCCCATTCCGAATGTACAGCAGATGCTAGAGACAGTGCAGCAGCTTTTAGCTCAGAACCAACAGATTTTGCAACTAATGCTCATTGGATAACAAGAAGGAGCACAACCTGTTGGACCCCAACCGAGAGGAGCTCCAAGCCTTGGGCGTCAAGGAGCTCCCCACTTGGGCACCCCCTTAGGCGCCCCACACAGGGCGGTCCACCATGAGGGACCTCTACCTCCTCCTCCAAAACCCGTTTCCATAGTTTTAAAATCCATCTCGGACATCAACCCGGGAAAGGGATCAGATTAATGGGTCACTAGTTCAACCGTTAGGTCACTGGTCGAACCAGTCAGATAATAAAAAAATAAAAAAAAATTATAAATAAGCTAAAAAATCACAATAATTATGAAAATTTAGCATGATTNTTAGATAATAAAAAAATAAAAAAATTATAAATAAGCTAAAAAATCACAATAATTATGAAAATTTAGCATGATTAATATATATTAGATCAAACAAAACCCTCAAAATCATCAAACATGTATTCAATACATTCAATTCAATGCATAATGGATCCAAAACAAGGCATATATAAATTGTAATCTACTTGAAAATACAAATATTACCACTATTATCAAATGACTAATGTGATATTACTTTGATATTTAGGTGGCCCACATATAGACACACACGTTGCAGTTTCAGCCTCAGTATCCAGAGTGCTCATCAACATACCACATGAATACATCTTTTTTTAAAAGAGTATTGAATTGAATATGTTAGCTACCAATGTCAGTGAAGAAAAAAATTAATTGTCTACTTGCTAAATCGAAAAACATCCACATCCATAAACATACTAGATACTAAACAAAATGACCACGATAAAGACAACAGCTAACTGAAGCATGAAATGTGCAAAATTGAGAAACAAGAGCACACAAAACTAGTGCAAAATTGGGAAATTGAAATNAACGACTATAAATTGTAAGTCCCGTCAACACTTGGGGGGACATCAGACTCAGTTGAGCACATCTTCTACTCTGCCCTATCTTAGCTTGTTTTTCCCTGCTCTCATTACACACCTTGAAGTAATAAAATACTCAGACGACCTTAGCCCTTCAAAGTAGACGTATGTCACATTGACCGAACCACTATAAATCTTTGTGTTGTTTTCTCTCTCTCCACTTTACTACTACATTTGTCACTATTCTGTTGACAGGTGGTGTACATAATTAATTTGTGTTTCATCAGTTTGACACCATCTAGAGAAAACGACAAAATTCTCACCTAACTATCTTTCTTGTTATACCAATGGTAATCACCACTAGATCCATGAATCAACCCAAAGACAATCCAACACGAGAGGACGAGCTTGTTCCTCCACCAACCAAGCCCATTCCGAATGTACAGCAGATGCTAGAGACAGTGCAGCAGCTTTTAGCTCAGAACCAACAGATTTTGCAACTAATGCTCATTGGATAACAAGAAGGAGCACAACCTGTTGGACCCCAACCGAGAGGAGCTCCAAGCCTTGGGCGTCAAGGAGCTCCCCACTTGGGCACCCCCTTAGGCGCCCCACACAGGGCGGTCCACCATGAGGGACCTCTACCTCCTCCTCCAAAACCCGTTTCCATAGTTTTAAAATCCATCTCGGACATCAACCCGGGAAAGGGATCAGATTAATGGGTCACTAGTTCAACCGTTAGGTCACTGGTCGAACCAGTNTTATAATATTAACTGTGATTGAGATGTTATGGTAATATAATGGGCAATTTAGTGCCCAAGACCTTTGGTAATAGGGGGTTTGCATATAGAAAAACCATTATGTTGGGTGGAATCAGATTACAGTGTAAAAATATTGCAGTTGCATCAAGACTCCGGAATTTTTGATGGTTAGATGTGCAACAAAGTCTAAAGTTAGAAATGGTTATAAGAAAAGCAATTTGACAAGAAAACTAGGAGTCCCATAACATTTAAGGCCAGAAAATAACCTATGTAACTCACAAGATTTAGAAGATCAAAGCTCTACCAAACTAGTTTCTGTTTTTGTAATTTATCATAACATAAATAACAAACCAAACAAATTTATTATTTTTAATTTTGAACGCAAAAAAATAAAAAAATTAAAACATTAACAAACGCACCCTCAATTTATAAGCAAATTTTGGAAACATTTGTAGCTTGTATGTGTCTACTTGTAAGAAAATGGGTAATACTTCAAGTGATGTCCCAAGCTATAATTGCCACATAA